CACAAAACGACTTAGTTTGTTTATCATTAATGGTGCCACATGCAATTCAAAACTAGACACACAATTATACACATCACAAAAACAAACATTAAACAAATAAGGAAATCACAAGAGAAGGTTAACAGAAAGCAATTATAACTTCAACCTTGGCTCCAAACTCATTCACATTAATATATGGAAGCATTTCCACTTTCCAACATGCAAACAACCTTAACTCTGCCCCTGTGAATGGAAAAAACCCTACCCACAACTAGAAAGTTACTGTTGTTATTAATGAGTTGTGGCTTTTGCTAATTCACGGAGGGTGAAGTTCACTCCTGGGCAGAGGGCCAGCACACAGCCTTGTTGTGCATTTCATCCAACATGCTTTTGTAAGCTGCTCTTTAGAGAGTGTGTGAGGCTTGGCAACTTTTAGTCCTTTATGAGACATCATCCCCATACAACGTAAAGGCCAAAAACTCAGCTGATGTAAATGGGCATATTTCCATTAACTTCAATCTGAAGATCTGGTTCAAGAACACTTTCCCCCCTGTCTGTGAGTCACCTCTTGTAGGTGAGCAGCACAAACGGGTTTGGGGTTTCTGGGCAATTTGATCCTAAGCATTAATTGCAGTGATGTGTAAACACCTATGTTTGCATCTGAGGAAGTGACCTTGAGAACTAATTGAGCAGACAAAAGACTTGAACTAAAAAGCCTTATATTGGCTAAATAATGCATGAAAGGGTTGACTTAGGCTCTGGGGGAAATTAAATTATTTAGCATACAGTGATACCATCACAATGAGCTAATCAAGATAATTACTACAGTCCTGACTTTATAAAAATGTTTTTTAACAAGGCTCTGGTTTCTGAAAAAAACGACTAATAAGCTATGTCCAGATTGGTAGCAATTCTTTTAGGTCAAGCTAAAGAAAACCCAACAAGCTATACAGCATCCCTTCTCTCTGGCTTGAGGAGATGGACGGCGAGAGATTTTTAGCCTGATGCAGTTGCCGGGACTCGCTTCCTTTCCCATCGATTATTACTGATGAAGGTTCAGCGTGAAGGTGAGTATTTAATGCAGTTGCTTGGCAATCAGAGTCACAATAAACTTCAAAGGGGCATAGGCCTTTTTGCTGCACTGGAGTGAGTTTCTCTCTCAAAGAAGAGAAGGGTGAAAAACAGACTAACCTCCTGCTAAGTCCCATCCCAAGGGTTATGGAGCAGCTCTGTAGTCCCTGAGTACAGTAGTCCGCACAGCTCCTCTCCCCTTGATGTGTGGGGAGGAACAGCCAGTCGTTCAGTGCTGCAGCAGACCTCCTCCTCCCCAGTCTGAGTCGGGATCTGCTGGGAGTCCCTGGGGAGCTGGATTCCATGGCGTGCTCCAGACCGACCTCCAATGCTAGATCCCCACAACCTGCCTCCTGCTCCACACACTAGTGCTGCACCAACTCAGCTGTGTCTTGGGCACGTTGTGGCATAAGAGCCATGATTTACCCCAATATTAGCAACAGGTACAGGGAGAAAACTACTTGCAAACAAATGCATGGTGAGTGGCTGGAAGTGTTCAATACGGCCATACCCTCTCTCACCATCGATCTTTGCACCTGAGTCAAAGGTATGATGTGGCCCTAGTGGCTGTCCCCAGGTTCTGACACATTCAAACTTCCCCTTGAAGCAGCACCATGTACCCAACATGCTCACACTGGCACCTACCCGCTGTTCCTTTCCACCTTCACTCAAGTATGCACTTGCTGCTCAGTACTGGACCTCTTCTCTTTTCTTATAGGGTGATCATTTAATGTCATCCTGTGCCAGCATTTGTTGATGGGAGTAAAGGTAAAGCCTATAATGCGGAAATGTCCACTGGGGCTCTGGGAGTGTTATGTAACTTGCAGTTAAATTACTTTCAACTTCTAGGGTGTTTTACATCTGAGGATCTCAAAGCACTTTCCAATCATGAATGAACATGGGATTTGTCTAAACTAGAGAAACATGCCCTGATACAAGCACAGTGATGTACACAGACTCTGGTGCACCTTAGTCTGGCAAATCAGTAACTGAGTCAGGAACACAGATCAATCCCGATTCCCACTCCTCTGTGCCAACCTCTAGCCAACCCTGGTTTCCATTTAGCTACAAAAGGTTAAAAGCTATCATGTGACTCCCCTGAAATGACCAGAGTTACACCAGGGACGCATCTGGCCCAGAATAAGTTTCACAACTTCCCCATTGAGTTGTATAGCAAGAAATAACTGCGGGCTGTCATGAATATACCCACACAGCAGCTCGCCTTTTTTTTCTCTCTTACTTAAAAATTTGCTCTTGTATTTATGTCTATGACCAAAACTATAGAGGAAGTGGAGATAAAGGTGATCGTTAATGATCCTAAAATTTCGTTTGCTTAATTTTCCATGGTTAGCTCTGTTGTCAAGTGCAGGGCCTCTTAGGGTTTGTCTCCCTTGCCACTGGAGATAGACTTGTGCTAGAGGGGCTTAAGCAAGCACACTAAGAATAGCAGTATGGACACTGCGGCTCGGGCTGGAGCTTGGGCTCTCCAACACACCTGACCCCCTAGGCTAGACATAAGCGTCAGTGTCTCTGGAGAGAGGAAATAGTGCCTTGATTTAGCACAATATTACGATGCGGTAGTGGGCTTCCACTCCTAGAGAAAAAGGAGAACTAGTTACGCTAACCCGCTCCCCAGAGAGCAACACTGGTATAGGAGGTGGAGAGATAGGAACTGTGATTCATTGAGGAATACAGAACCTAACTAACCTATTACCCCTCAGCTGATTTAGCAGAGGTTTTACACCAACCCCTTTCAAGGCAGAACCAGCAATACAGGAGGCTGTGTGGCTTAGAGCTCAGGATGCAGGAGACCTGCGTTCTAATCCTGCCCCCACTGCTGGGTAAGCGTGGCAAGTCACTGCCTCTCCGTGCCTCAGATTCCCCATCTTTAAAAGGGGCATAGATAGTGATACTTACTTCCCTTTGAGATCCACTGATGAAAAGTGCTATATAAGGCCTTGGTATTATTACTAAATATTAAGACAAAAAAAAAAAGAAGTGTGGAGCATGTTAATATGAAAAGGGCCAAAATGATCCTGGGTCTAACTCAGTTAGGGACAATAGAGATACAACTGGGGTAAATTAGGGGCAATGAAGTGTAAAAGCTGCAGTGAAGCACACGCCAATCTGGCCATTTATTCTTTGTCCTTTCTCTCTCTAAATCTCTGTTTCAGCCTTATCCTGCACATACATTCAATTCCATTCAGGTTTCTATACCAAGTCACCAACCTTTCTCCCATTACCTGCTAGACTAAACCAAACACCCGCCCCAAATCATCCTTGCCTTGGGCTTCCCAGCGCATCCTGTCTTCTCTATGCCTGTGAGTCCCCTGGGACAGGGAGTGTCCCATAAAGCACTGAGCACACGGCTGGCATGTAACAAAGCATACCAATAACAATAATAATGACATTATAATCTAATGACTGTGGAATTGTCTTCCTAGGGGAGTGGTGTCAGTCCTACACCCTGAGCCATATAAAATTAGATTGGACAAAACCCTGGAGCACATATAGTAGGAGCTCTGGCAGGGGAGTGAACAAGAGACTGTCAGATTCCTTTGCCCACTTGGAAAATATTCAAATAAGCATATTAATGCTTTCTCCCATGCTGCCCCTCAACACGTGGGAGAAGCTCCCGTACCCATCCGCACAGTAACTCATTATCGTCCTTCAGATCCCTCCTTAAAACTCTCCTTTGCCATGAAGCCTACAAATAACTTACTAACAGTCGGCCTGCTGGTGAGCTGAGACACTACCTACCAGCCTGACCAATATTGTCTCACTGTGCTCCCTTTCTGTCTGTCCCCATCTATTGTCTCTTGTCTTATACTTAAGATTGTCAGCTCTTTGGGACATGGAGTTTCTTTTTGTTCTGTGTTTGTACAGCACCTAGCACATGGGGTCCTGGTCCATGACTAGGTATCACTGGGGGTTACAGACCCATGCTGGCCTGACAACCAAGCAGTTAATGCAGCAAGTACCAGCCAGCGCTGATTAGCAGCCTCATAGCCGCTAGGAGAAAAAAAGAGCTGAGAAGCAGAGGGGAGTGGGGCCTTGAAGAGGAGCAAGCAGGCTGGAGATGTAAAGTTCTGCCAGCAAGCTGGTGAGAAGATGCCCAGAGACAACACCACAGAGAAGGGACAACCGGATCTACAGGCTGGAGAAGCCTACAGAGCCCAGGGAGGTAGGAAGGAGCTCAGGGCACAGCAGGAGGAGTTGTGGAGGATTGATTCTGCCTGTCTGGTTTAAGGACCCTGAGCTGGAACCCAGTGGAGTGGGTGGGCCGCGATTCCCTACAGACCCCTCAATAGAGACTTAAGAACTCTTATTATTATCATCATCATCATCCAACATCACACCTAGGAGCCCTAGTGGGAGCTGGTGTGTCAATGCATCTGTGCCCCCTTTGGTCAGACAGAACGTTGCAGAGTCAGCTCAGGCTGGCAGGGGCAGCCAGTCAGCTCCTCCTGGCTGAGTTTCTATAGTACTCCTGTTCTGGGCTATAGAGGGCGTTCGTTTCAGTCCCGCTGGGGTGTGCGAGTTTTCCCCTGTACTTGGTGGGGTCAGCTGATCCTGCTCCTCTGCGAGCCTGGAAACTCCTTTGGATCTTTCCCAAACCCCAGACTGAGATTTTCAAAGCTCAGTAAGATTTTTCGATATCCAGCTTAACTTTCCCGTTCCAACCAAAATTAACGGGAATTGGGCATCCACATCCTTTAAGTAGCTTTGAATATCTCAGCCTAAATCGATAGGTAAAATTCACTCAGTGCAGAGAATTCAGTCCACACTATATACCACTTAAATCCTATACTAAGAGCTTACGTGGGACCTGATGCTTTGCTCTTCGGCCATTCTACACTGGGGTGAATTTCATCCAGTGAATTTTATTCCATTAACATTACATGGAACACAAAATGGTGCCAAAGGCATATTATCCTAGCAGCACTTACTCATAAAATGTTGTCCATCCGTTTTCATTGGTCTTGGTGGCAAGAAGACCAGAGTTGCCATGGTACGTCATCAGACCCACTTCATGCCCTTGTGCTGTCACACTCTTGAGAGCGCTGTTGGTGCCAATTGTCACCCAGTAGACCTGGCCATCTGGCACCACCAGCCAGAGTGGCATCCCAGTGGAATCTCTCCGGACATTGACTAAGTTACCATTGTTATCAGTGATCAAGGTTATGTCTCCATCTCCGGTGTAGGTAAAATTGTAAAGGTAATCTCCGGTGGGTAGGCTCTGGGTATAAAGGTGTTTACCGCTGGTGTCAAACAAGTAGAGTTCCTGGTCTATAGGAGAGGACAACTCATATAAGTTCTGTGTGTTGAGGTATGGCTTGTTTTTCCGAATAAAGCGGATTCGGATGTTTCCAAGATCAGCAACATACAACTCCCCATCTGCGCACACTGCTAGGGAGGAAGGGGCATTGAGCTTGGCATCCTTTGCATAGCCATCATCCCCAGAGAAGCAGTCACAGTTGGCATCATTTTTGCAGTCACAGCTGCTTGGTGCACCAGCAACAAGGGAGATTTCCCCATTGGTGGTGACCTGCCTGATGCGGTTGATCTTCTTCTCGTCGGTCTCAGCGATATACAGGACCCCGTTATGGGAGACGGCCAAAGCTGTGGCAGATTCCAAAGTTGCATGTATTGCCACTTTGCTGAGGAGGAAGTGATCAATGCCTGGGACCTGGCAGTGCATAGGCCTCCCGGCCACAATGCGCACTTGGTGATTTTCAGAGATCTGCAACACAACGTTATTATCGAGGACATACAGGGAATTATCCATCGGGTTGACTGCCAGATCTGTGGGCCACTCTAGACGAACCTAACAATGGAACAACACAAAGAAACTGTTAAAATGTCTATTTTTTCTATTTGCTTCCCAAAATCAGCCTTATCAATCAAATCTCTAAAAGCTTCCACTCGTCCATCCAATAGCTAGGTGCGTAGTGTGTTTGGCATGTGATTAAAAAGAGAAATAAGAGAGAGAACTAAATAAATATTTAGTTGTATTGTGAGAGCACATCAAGGTCCCCAAGCGCCATTGTGCGAGGTGGTGTACAATCAGATAACAGAAAGATGGCCCCTACTCTAAACAGATTACAATCTAAGTGTTTCAGAAGAGGTGCCTAAATTGCATGTGTAACTACACAGGCTTGTAGACAACATGGGTAGCTGTTTGTGCTACTAAACGTGCTGTGTTGTAACTGCATATTTTGTGCATGCAAGCTATGAACATCTTTTTGAAAACTTAGTACAGGCCTTGGGATCCAGGCATTGGTCCTGAAACCATGGATAAATATGAATTCTCAATCAATTCAGTTTATTTATTTCACTGCATGAAATCAAATGCGTGCTTCACAGTGTTTTTTCATGTCGTTAAGCATTATGGAAGACCAAGTTTAAGTAATAATAATGCTTTACCAACTCATTTTGTATATGGGTAAACTGAGGCAGAGAGCGGTTAAAGCCACAGTGAGTCAGGAGTAGAGGTGAGAGTCTGGGATCCCAATTTCCTGCTCTAACCATGGAACATATTGGCTCTCAATTGAGGATACTGTTTGATTTGCTAAGAATAATGCCAAACCTAAGAGAATTTTACCTCTACGTGGGTAACGTAGCTCTAACATGAAAATTTCAATATAATTTGGCATCCTTTTATATTCCAAGACATTTCAGTGTTAATGAGAGCCGTAGAAATACACTTTGAGATAATTTTATTTTGTTTCATATAAAAAGAAGGGGTTCGACATTGAGCTGAAGGGAGCCAAATAATTTTAAGAGGGTCTCCCGCAGCATGTGTGATTTTGCAGTGGGAGGGATGGAGAGCAGGTCTGTCTGGAGGATGTTTTGGTCACCTTAAAAAGAACGAGGAGTACTTGTGATACCTTAGAGACTAACACATTTATATAAGCATAAGCTTTCGTGGACTAAAACTCACTTCATCAGATGCATGCAGTGGAAAATACAGTAGGAAGAGATATATATACACACAGAGAACATGAAAAAATGGGTGTTGCCATACCCACTATAACGAATGTAATCAGTTAAGGTGGCCTATTGTCAGCAGGAGAAAAAACAACTTTTGTAGTGATAATCAGGATGACCCATTTCCAACAATTGACAAGAACGTGTGAGTAACAGTAGGGGGAATAGTTCTACCTTGTGTAATGACCCATCCACTCCCAGTCTTTATTCAAGCCTAATTTAATGGTGTCTAGTTTGCAAATTAATTCCAATTCAGCAGTTTCTTGATGGAGTCTGTTTTTGAAGTTTTTTTGTTGTAGTATTGACATTTTAAGTCTGTAATTGAGTGACCAGGGAGATTGAAGTGTTCTCCAGCTGGTTTTTGAATGTTATGACGTCTGATTTGTGTCCATTTATTCTTTTGCGTAGAGACTGTCTGGTTTGGCCAATGTACATGGCAGAGGGGCATTGCTGGCACATGATGGCATATATCACATTGGTAGAATCTCTCCAGGGCAGGCTTTTAAACAGTTTTTTGGCCAACCGTTCTTAAAAGATCTCTCATAGTGATAGTCCTAGTCATAGTGAAAGTTTCTAGGGTCCAGTTCCCTGATTCCCCAAGCTGCAGCAGCACCAGCCCTGGCCCTGGTGTAAGTCTGAGTTACCCGTTAGGTTGCTACAACATATGACAGCTGATTGTAGTCCCTAAGGGATCATATGCCAACTTAAAATGTGCAGAGCAGAGATGCTCATCCCCTCCCTGCTCCTGTTATGCCGCTTCCTTCCCCTGTACACTGGAGTAATGTTGCGCTGTTGTGACTTTACCATGACACATATCATGGCGCACACACTGCAGTGCAATGTTAGGGTGCCCCTCTGCCTCTCTGATACATCTCCTCTTCCACCTTATCCCTAGCTGCTGTTTCTCCTTGTCCCCACCTTCTCTAGCTCTTTGGAAGGATGTGAAGGGGTCCCCAGTAGACTGAGGCCTAGAGAACTCACTCTCACTGCTGCCTTTGTATGAGCCCAAGCAGCATTAGCGGAGCTCCTGTCAGATCCAGACAGCCCAAGAGCCCCACATGGCTCTCGAGCCACTGGCCGCGTGTCACTGCTAGAGAGCATCAAACATATGGTCTGGTTTTGATCCTTCAATCATGTTCAAACTCTTCCTACACTTATTTATTAAAGAGTGACAGTTACAACACAGGTTGGCCTTGTGACGTCTAACACCCTAGTTTGTGAGGCATGAGTCTCAGTGCTAGACCCAGCGAGCTAAGCGCCGTCTAGTCTCCCTCTGCTCCACTCTCAAAAATCCCCATCTTTTCTTGGCTCCTGGCCTACTTTAACCCTTCCTGTGGTACAACATTATAGCCTGTGGTTTTCCCTTCAATAATTAGGGTTACCATACGTCCTCTTTTTCCT